GCTGGAAAGCATTATGATCAGTGAACTAACTCAGTCTCATAAGGATAAATATAAGACCATTATTGTAAAAACAGAAATATAACTAGTAAAACATGTGTAAGAAATCCAAGGGAGAAAGAGGTGAGAGCAGAGGGGTAAGGGTGAGCAGAAGGGAAATCAGGTTGTGCAATATGGCTGATGGAGGAGGATAAAGGAAATAGGAAAGACCTGGCAGGGATCTGGAAAGACAGGGTAATGGTGGGTATAGTTTAATGGTGATTTTACAAAACATAATGAGAATTATTATATGAAATACAATGTGAATGAAGGATGGTGTGAAACACAAGGTAGACAAACTTTGTATACAAAGCAATGTAAGATTCTAAAAATGTGTATGAATGATTGAAGTGGTCATTACAATGTTATAAAACAAATGTCTATGAAAGTAAAACATAATTTCTAAATGCTCATCCAAATAAAGAAATAAAATTTTTTTAAGTCCTAACTGTGCCCACCATGGCTGTCTCTCCAGATCCCTATTTCAGATCCAGACCCCAGAGTCAGTAATGGTGGGTACAGTTCAATGTTGATTACTTTTAGAACATACAATTAATAGGAATGATTTTATGAAACACAATGTGAATGAAGGATAGTGTGAAACAATGTATATGAACTTTCTAAGCAAACCAATATAAAATAACATTTTTTTCTTTTTAAAAATATCATAACTGTGCTTTCCAATAGAAAAATGGAAAAAGAAAGAAAAAGATTGGAGATGAATTAATTGTTCATTTTACCAGATAGTTTACCACAGCTTAAACTAGAGAGAAAGTTTGGGTACACTTGTTTAGGGCAATTTCTATTTATTAAGGATCCCACCACTGCATCTTGTTTCCTCCAAGGACTGTATGTTTTCTAATCTATTCAAACCACTGCTCTTCACCAAGGAAGTACAAATCCCACATGCAGCTCGAGACCTCAGATTCCCATTCCACTGGGGGGAAAACTGATGCCCTGAAGGGCAAATAGAGCAGGGGCCAATCATCTTGCCAGAAAATGAACTGCACTAAGCTTGAATAAATAACGTTGCCAGGCACAGATAGATCTTCACCTCTGCCACTTCCTCTGCTCAGCCCCACCCTACTCTAGAGTTTTCAAAAGCTGAGATCCAATCAGGCAGGCTGGCAGGGTGGTGGAGGGGTGGGGGATGGTTTCCGGGGCCTGTGGTTCCTCCGATCCACTTCCTTATGATGACATAAGCCCTATTTCTGCAGCAGGAGGACACCAACCAAGACTCGATACAGGCTCCACTCAGTCCTGTCTGGACCTCAGTTTCCAAGACTTGGGACATCGTTGGCCATGATTGGTCTTAGCTGGGCTTGGACACTGTCAGAACAGAAGGCAGGACTCTGAAGCCACTGGCCTATCCTCATCTTCAGTTTCTTCTTTCTTCAATTTCTCTGTCCTAACCCACCGATGTTCTGGATTAAAAATTCAATTGTTGATCAAGGTTTCAGGGTAGCCTGGACATAGCGAGATGACTACAGCTAGGGAACCCAACTGTGAGACGGATGAGGCAACCTATTAATAACATTAATAGCCACTGGCTGGTACTCCATCCATCCCTTCCCCACCCCCTTGCTCAACCTTGTAGAATTAATGGATGGAAGTGGGACTGCCAAGGGCACCACCTCCTTCCCAGCCAGCTAAAGGAAGGAAGCATAGAGAAGGAAGGCAGAGATAAGGGGCTGGAGGGAGCTAGGGAATGTGAAGGGCTCCCCTCAGCGTTAGCTCCCAGAGACGGGGGCTTGAAAGGGTCTTAAATAAACTTGCCATGTGACTTGGCTTCCTTCCCCAATTTCAACTTTACCAACTTGCATGTCTTAACAGCCACCCCCTTCCCCTTCTTCCTTTACTTGTCAGACCTATATGCTTGCAGCCTGGGTGGATTGTATCTGTCTCACCTCTCTATAGCTTTTTGTCCGGGGTGGGGTGGGGAGGAACATCAGGTTAAAGCTGACTCCAGGCCAGTCTGACCAGGGAGCTGAAAGTCCTTATCATCCAGGATTAGAGGATAAAGGGATCACAGTGCAGGCCAGAGGGGCTGGTCCTGGTTCAGAGCTAACCAGATTCAGAGGCAGATGAATCAGACTTGACCTAGCTAAGGGGCCTTGGGGTGATGTGCTTACGATCTACACCTTCTCTTATTCCGAAGTCCCAGGTTCTCAAAACTTCCTTCCAAGCTCTCTCTCAGTCCAGCCTTCCTCAGGGCTCTCTGCCCACAGCCCACTATGCTCCTAATTCTAAAAAGATTAGGGGTCATGGCCCTGGACCAACAACCCTCAGAAGCCACTGTCCCACGCGTCCACACATGCCAGACCAAGTCCACCTCCATTCTGCCTCATTCTCCAGAGAGCTGGACTCCTGGGCTCACCCCAAGCAATTCTTATGAAAACTGAGAAAGTCCTGCATTTAGATACAAGTAACTTTTTTAGACTTCCAGAAAGACAGAGGAACCTGGACCCTCAGAAATAAAAAAAGTCTTGTCCTAAGCAAAAATGCTGAGGGAGCTCTGGTGTCCTAGTGGTAAGAACCTGCACTGCAACCCTAAAGACAAGAGGTTAGCACCCACCACTGCTCTTATGGGAGAGGATGGACAATCTCCCCCTGTGCACCTCACTGCCTCTGAAAACCCACTGGAGGGTCAGCTATGATTCTGTTCTGACTCAATGGCACAAAGAACAAGCACAAATGTACCACTCCTGCCATACTCGAGTGCACCCACGCTGTCCTTTCACTGGGGGCAAGAGATCTTTTGGGGTGGTGGGCCTGAGGGTGGAAGTAGAAGAGGATCCAAAAGCGTGGAAAACTCTGCACTGCAGCCCCGCACTGGCACCATCTGCTCTGCTCCCCAGTCCCAGTTCCAGCCATAGCCCTCTGATTAGAAACTGGTTCCTGTCCAGGCATTGTCTGCCTTCCACGGACCACTGCCCATTGAGGTCTGCGGTGTGCCCCACTCGTGCTGGGGGTGAGGGAGAAAAGGAGAGGCCTTCGTATTCCTGGACCCCTTTTTCTGATGCTCAAGTTCCCCTGTCCCTCCATTCTGATCAGGTTCAAGGCATCAGAGCTTGATGTAGGTCTGAGTAGGGCTCAGAGTTGGTACCCACACCCTGCACACCAGAGCTCAAAGGGCAGGCACAAACCCCTTTCCATGGAAAGATCCCAGATACTTTGCAGAGGGAAGCAAGAAGGGGGAGCACCAGCTTCCTTTCATTATGTAGCACAAAATGTCAATCCCATAGGACTACTTTCAGGGTGAGGCAAGGAACCCCATACACTCCATCCAGCTGGGGGGGTCACTGAGAAGAGGTAGTGAAGGCTTTACTTGGCTTTCTCCTGGCAAGGCAGTCCAAAGGAAAGCCCCTAGTGGAGGGGCACCCTAAACTCCTTTTTCCCCTACCCCCACTACACACACACACACTTACACTGGAAGCTTCATTTCCCTTTTATGATGCTCTTGGTCTCACCCAGACTGCTGCAGATGTCATATTTACATTTTTCACTCCCACCCCTTCACCCAGGGATGTCCCTCCCTCAGCCTCCACAGGATCCTACTGCAATGTCAGCCCAGTCGACGCCGGCCCCACCCCAGCCAGCCCACCAGGCACCTGCAGGGCTCCTCTTTGTCTCTCTGGCTGTTGGGGGCTGGAAGACTGTGCTCAAGTGATGCCTGGAGTGTGACTTGGCGGGTGTATGGGTGGGGGTGCCTCCATCTCCCTCCCTCAGCCTCAGATCAGTTCTGTGGTCTTCCTTCTTTCCAGGCTGCAACGGGCTGGCCAGGTGACAGGGGTACCTACTCTGGGCCTGGAAGTGGCAGGCTTCTTCACGGTCACCACTGCCTCTGTCTGGAAGGGACTTCCAAGAATCCCTAGAATCTGGGTCACCTATGACCCAGGGCACCTAGAGGTCTAACCTCAGAGACCTATCTGAGACCTGGGGCCGTACACTTCAAACACATAGCACCGGGGCAGAGATGGCAGTTTGCCTCCATCATCCCTGCTTTGGGGGCCAATTCCAAATTAGAAGGCTCCCATCAACAGACCCTCCTCGGAAAGAAACATCTCCAAACAAAACAAGCAGAGGTGATGTGGTACAAACGCTCTCCACCCAACATGACAAAGGGCGCAGACGTTCAACTTTGCAGTATTTCCTGCCCCTGCCCCTCTCTCTAGTACTCCTCCTAAAGGACCCCTGCTATGGCCTCTTCCCACCTCCATTCTGTCAGGAAATCACCTCTCAAGTGCCAGAGAATGGAAGCCCTGATAAGCTGTGCAGCCTTCCCCCATCAGACGGTACCTGAGTGTCCCCACGGATGGGCGTTCTCCTCACATCCTCGAGTCCTCTCCAAAGCAAAATCTCCCACACACCTTTTCCTCTCTCCTCTAGACCCATCTCCTTTTGGGACAGGGCCAGGAGGATGCTCTTCCAAAGCTATTCATTCCCTATTGGAGGCCACGGCACCATCCATTCATCCTCACACCCGATCTTTGTCTGAGGAACCGGCTCCCTGGGGGCGATGCAGCGCCTTCCCTACCGGGACCGGGAACACAGAACTCGCTGATTGGGGTGGATGAAGGGGACATTTTCTCCCTCCAATATCCCCGTTAAGGGACAGCAGCCCCATGGGGAGGCGAAGAGGAAACACACAGACGCTCCGGCCTGGGCCAGGGCTGGGTGTGAAATACCGGATTTCCTTGTTTATTCGATTTTCTGATCATTAAGGGCTCCCAAGAGGGGACCGAAATTACCACCCAAACAAAGCCACCTTCTAGCAGCCCTTGGGGCCGCCGTTCTCCTACGGCAGCCGGGCCAGCGCGCGGCGCCCTCCAGCCGTCCACACCGGCCCCTCCTCCGGAGCGCAGCCACCGGCTCGAAAGGCGCCCCGCGCCCCCAGCCCCGCGCCCACGCGAGACAAAGCCTGCGCCCTCTCCACGCGCGCCCTGGCGCCCCAGGTTCCCTACCTGACGGCCACCTTGACACAGCAGTCCCCCTGGCCAGCCATGGTCCTCTGGCTCGGAGGTCCGGGCGTGGATCAGGGGCGAGGGTCCGGGGGCCAATGTCCAAGGCAGCGGCTGCGGGAGGCGGGGACGTGGGCACTGCTGGCAGAGGCTACCGCGGCGGGTGGAGGTGACATAGTCGCGGGCGGCAGAGGGGATCACCCGCGGCGGGGGGCAGCCCCCCAGAGCTGGGCTCGCGCGCCTCCTCGAGCCATCGGGCGGCGGCGCCGAGCTAGCTGACAGCCGGCGGCGCGACCCGCCGCTCCCCACCGCGCGGCACACGCGCGCACACACCTCCCACCCTCGCCGCCACCTCCCGCCGCAGCGCGAACAAAGGGGGCGGGGGCCGGCCTGGCCCAGGGCCCGCCTCCGAGCCCCGCTCGAGCCAGGCCTGGGCTCCGCCCCTTCCCAGATCCACCAATCGAAGGCCCGAACTAGCCACAGGGGGAGGGCCTTGAGCCTTTAAAGAGACCTCTTGGCTCGCTTCCACCCGGCGACGGGAGGGCGGGCGGGATTTTGGCGTTGGGGGATGGGTGCGAGGGTAGGGGGCGCAGAAACTACCCGCATCCGAGCCTAGGCCCCAGAGTGGCAGGAACTCGGGCTGATGGGACCCCTCGTTTCATAAATGAGGAAACGGATGCGTGGAGGGGAACTACCCAGGATCATGCAGCGAGGTCGCTTGCAGCGAGGTCGTGGCCAAGCAGGGTGAGAACCCAGGTCTCCGCTGCGGAGTGCCACACTTCAAAGCATCCCACAGCCATTAGCGGGTTGTATTTTAAAAGTGTCCTTTCTGCATTTATCCCAGTGAATTCGCCAGCCTTTATTGAAGGAGAGTTCTTGCTAGCTTGCAACTAAAAGGAGCCCCCTGCCCGTCATCCTCATCACATGGTTGCTTACTGGTGAGATTAGTATGCTCTTGTCCAGCGCCTCTGTCCCAGTCCTAGCCCAGGCAGGCCCCTCCCTTCTTCTGGACCTGGGTCCTATTGACCTTTATGACCTATTCACAATCCCATTGGCGCGGCTCACACTGTTTGTTTGTGGCACTTGGGGGCAGAGGGTCAGTGTGGGAGGCCTGGGCTGCCCCCAGAGAGAAGGGAACAAAGCAGGCACTGAGCTCCCTGCACCTGGACAGAGGCAGGCTTCCAGTGGGTGAGGATGAGGACGAGGACGAAGGAGGAGTGCAGCTGCCTGCAGGAATGGCATATAAAGGACAAGGAGGGACTTTTAAACACAGGGCAGTCCTGGAGAGCCCAGAGCTGTGGGAATTCACAATTCCTTATCTAGGCCGGCTCCCTTCCTTGAGTGCTGGCTCCTCCTCCCTTCCCCCTCACCCCGCGCCCAACATTGGGGCCATTCACAGGACTCCTCACCAGCTGCCCTCCCTCCTCCTCATTTTACCCAGTTCTCTGGCCTGGAAAGGGCCCAAGATGAAGACCCAGCTGAGGTTCCAGATGTGGACAGAGTTCTGGGCGTAGGGGAAGGGAGGGAGCAAGAGGAGTCTGACTCCACGCCTCTTGCATCACCATCAGATGATGAAACCAAGTCAGGAATTCTGGCAAGAGTGTGGACTAGGATCTAAGGATGCATCTGCTGACATTGTCTTTATCTTTCCCTATCCCTTCACCCCCACTGATAACTGCTAGGTTCAGTAGCCACTCAGGCCCTTGTTAAGGTCAGATCAAAACCAAAGATCATTTCAAGGGTAAATCAACATTCCTCCACCTCCCTCCATCCTGATCGCAAAGAGGAGGAGAACAGAGAAGCAGTGAGTTAGGATAGGGTGGAATGTGGGTATGGGGGTGTCATTGTGGGTTCTTGCTCTGATAATTTAGTCTGTAGTGTTGCAATGCTACTCCAAAATCTTAACCCAGCTGCTTGGAGAGAGAACGCTTTCTCATATCAAGAGCAGTCTCCTCTCGATATGATTTACATGCTCAGAACCCTGATAGAGGGTCCCTTTCAGTTGGAATCTACTCAGTGGTAGTGAGGTTTCACAGAAGAATCAGTGCCTTTGAGCTGTGGTGAAGGAGAAGTATGATGAATATCCCATGGACTACCAAAAGAACACACAGATATATTTTGGAGAAAGTGAAACCAGAGTGCTCCTTGGAGGCAAGGGTGATGAAACTTGGTCTTACATACTTTGGGCATGTGGTTAGGAGAGGCTGTTTCTCTGAATGGGACATCATGCTTGGAAAGGTGGAAGGTCAGTCAAAGAAAAGACCCTTAATGAAATGGATTGACACAGTGATTGCAGCAATGGGCTCAAGTATGTCAGAGATGGCACAGAATGACTGACTGTGACTCGCACTTACCTCAACAACACCTAACAACAACATGAACATATCCTAACATGTGAGCCCAGAAGAACCCCTACAAGCCCTGGGCACAGTGGGTCACCCCTCTAAAGCAGGAGGCCAGCAGAATGAACACACACACTTCTCTCCTGGCCAAAATCATGGCGAGGACTACCATACACAAGGCACTTTATGGGTTTGATCTTATCTCATTATAACCTCGTGAGCTAAACTTTGTTTTGGATTTTTATGGTTTTTGTTTTTGGTTTGGGTTTTTTTTTTTCTTTTCACTTTTGCACATGGAGAAACCCGGTCTCACCCAGCATAGAAATAACAAACACAGGATTTGAATTCATGTGTCTGATTTCCTACTCTCCATGGCACCTCGACCTACTGCCAGGAGATGAGAGTAGGGCTGGCCCAGCTTGTCCGGATTCATCACCCTGTGATCCTTGTTCTGCGTTCTGAAAGCTCCATTCCCTCCTGCCTCCTCTGGGTTTCTCTGGGAAACTGTGGTTTCCTGCCTGCAGGAGGTCCTCTGACTTCTGACAGTAGGTGATTCTCTGACTCACAGGCACGCTGCTAGGAAATGTCTCCATAGCCTCACTGCCTCCTCTGCCTCCCTCCTGATGAGCCCGGGAGCAGGGAGATCTAGGCACTGCAAACTCAGATCTCATAGAGTTCAGGGGCCCAGTGATTCAGCTGCCCCAGGCACTTCAGCATCCCCTTCCTGGACCACCCAGGAGCATCAGAACAGATGTGTCTGGACCTTGATGCCTGGATTCTGCAGTGCCGAGGTGGTGAACAGTAACTGGTCACAGGTTGTGGGAAAGAGGCTTATGCCACAGGTTGGGGAGATTTAGGTGAAACAGTCAGAGGAACAACTCTATTTCCACTTCAGGTCTCTGTCCAGTTTCAACAGGCCACTGCTTCCTCTCTGGTTTATTCTCACACTCCCTCTGCCTCCTCCCAGCTGCTCTTCCCCTTTCCTTGCCTTCTTCCTAAACCCTGAAATTTCTCAGGATTAGCTGGTTTATCTGCCTGTTTGTTCCCCACCTCGAACGCTTTCCTCTCTGCCTGACAGAAACAGGCTAACACACACACACACACACACACACACACACACACACACACACTCACTGCCTCTACAGTGGGTCAACTTGAGAACTGAAATCCAACTGGAGCCTCCTAATTTGTCCTGAGTTGAAGCCCTTCCCCCAGGCATCTTGGGGCCTCCCTCTGTCATTTCTCCTGACAGGAGCTGTGGGCGTCTGGGCAGATGGAAACCTGGGGGAGGTGTGGGGCGCCCTCTCCAAGGCAGGAGCCTCTCACGCTACTGTAGTTAAAATCCTCCTGCAGCTTCTTTGGACAGCCATCTGGCCCACATCGCTCAAGCATGGCACAGCTCTCAATAGCAACATTACAGCAACAGAACAAGGAAAGATACCTGTTGTTAGGGACTGTGGAGATGATTCCAACTCAGGCAACCTCCTGTGTGCAGATTAAAATGGCTCTGTAGAATTTTCAAGGCAAACCCCTGTGTGCAGATTAAAATGACTCCAAGGTTGTGACATATTGCCAAGCCTGACTTCTGAGACACTGCTGGGTGGGTCTGAACTGTCAACCTTTTGGTTATTAGCCCAGCATTTAACTGTTTCCAATCTGGTAATATAACTCATCACTCCCAATCAAAGGCTGTGTGTCTCCAGAAATTCAAATCTATCAGGAGCCTTTGGGAGAAAGTTTAACAATCTCCTTACCTTTAAGATTTAAAGCTTCAAAAATCCAATGGAGGGTCTCTTTGAGTTGGAATTGGCTCAATGGTAGTGAAATTTTCTTGGCTTTGCATTTTTTTTAAAATTAAATTTTATTAGTTTTACTGAACATTTACAGAGATTTTGGGTTTTCATTCATTCGTTGTTGCACTGTTTTCTCCACCCTCATCCCCAGTTCGTTCTTCTTCCCCCCCCACATCTGTTTTAATTGTCCAATTGCCACAGTGCTTGTCAAAGCCAGTTCTGATTAATATCCTTTGTCAGTGTGTCCCTTGCCATTCCCTATCACTCCTCCCTGAGAGAGACTTCACCCTGATTCATAAGGAAAAGGGGATGGCGTATTCTCTTAGCTACTTCCTGCTGAAAAGGGACGCTGTGGGTTTCAGGGTGAAGGTCTTCTCTCACTACTCTAAAGGGCCCCTTTGGCAGTAGGAAACACATAGACTATTATGGAGATTGATTTTGGAATTTAGATGCACTGTTATCAATTGTGCTTAGCCGTAAATGTTCATGTCCTTGAAGATGTATCATGGAAGTGTTGCAGCCTAGAAGACAAAAATTTAACTAACAAGTTACAAGTGCATGAGTCAAAAATTGAAAAGCAAGAATATTCTGAGTAGAGGTTCTAATAGTGGCACAAATCAAGTTACAGAGGTAAGGTGGTTCCATTGCCATCCTTACTCTAACTTAATTCATTTTTTTAATTTAAATTTGTTATTAATTTCAGTGAAAATTTACAGAGGCTTTGGATTTCCATTCATTCATTGTTGTAGATTTGTCCCCTCCCAAGGCTCCCCCCCACCAGACATTACCCTCTTGGAAAAGTAAAAGATTCTTTCATTATTTTACAAACCCTCCCCCAGGTCCACTCCACCATGTAGCCATCGCTCTAGACTCCTGTCATGACTGAAATACCTAATCACATATCTCTTTTAAACAGTTTTCTCCCTCCTCTGTTTCAGTGCAGTATACATTATTGAACCCATCTTACTCAGTCTCTCCCCAACCCCAAGGACAGTCCCATTCTACAACAGTGGCACCATGCAATATTTGTCCCTTTGTGACTGGGACATTTCACTCAGCATAATGTTCTCCAGAGTCAACCATTTTGAGTAATATTGCATGAGTTCCTTGTTTTTCAATGCAGCATAGTATTCCATTGTGCGAATATACCACAGCTTCTCTAGCCATTCATTTGTTGATGGGCACTTAGGTTGTTTCCAACTCCTTGCTATTCTGAACAAAG